CTGCTGCTGCTGCTGCTTCTCGTCTTCCTGCGTGCACCGAGGAAGGGGGTTAACTTCGGCTTATTCTCCGCAGGTACGTCCCTTCTCAGGCTGATATAGCAGTCTTTGAAGCAATCGCTGTCCCACCTCCTGCAGACTTGTTTCATGCTCTTCGGTGGTACAATCATATTAAGTCGTATGAAAAGCAAAAGGCAAGGTATGGTTAAACTGCGAAACCAGAATATGTGCGCGAAACGGCCTGCGAAGTGTTGCATTTGTTTTCTCGAGTTTGAACAAAAAGGTGTTTTTTCACTAGTACTGTACGGCTTTTTCTGTTGCCGCTGGAACAGGAACAGTTCTAGAAGCAGAGCAGACTTCTGTCAGTACATCACACTTCTCACTTAGAATTTAGGCAACCTGGTGCTGTCTCTGTTCAGACCCTGAGATTTCTGCTAAAGCTTATAAGGAAGGCTTGAGTTTTGTGGCTGCCGTCTACACAGATGGCTATGCTGAAAGCTGGAAATCACTTACCAGTAATTGACCCTGTAAAGGCAACACCAGAATGGATTAGAAAGTATTGCAGGACTCTTACAGATAAATACACAGTGTGTAGATGATAAATAAGAAAAAAGTGGTTCCTTCAGGTTTTTAGTCCTGGAAGATCAAGCAAAATCAATTATTTGCGATGCAGAAGCACATATAAAGAAGGGGAAATGTGAAAGCAAATGTTATCTTTTTTCTTTTTTAGTGATTTTAGTGTTCATGAAAGGTGCTGTATTGACATCCATGGAGACTGCAGGCCTCCCTAAAAAGGTACAGCATAGGTAGTGTCAGTATTGCTACGCTGCCTCCTCTGTATGCCTCAGTCCTGTTTGGAGGGAACTCTTGTAAAGTTGGGTGGCTCAGTCACCAGTCTGTTTCCGAACCTCTTATAATGCTAAAGGGGACTGAGATAAAAAGTTGCTTCACAAAGTCCACTCTATGGAAACTACTTGTAGTTCCTGAAAACTAAAGCCAGTTTTATGACTCTTATAAGAGCAATTCACGGTAACAATAGAACTGTGAGCTTATTCTAAGACTACAGAACTGTATGAGCTATAGAAGATTAATTCGGGGGGGTCTGGTCCCTCGTGTGCTGTTGACAGCTGGCTTGCGGAGTAAAGCATTCACTGAAACTTCTGAAGTCACAAGGATCAGTTGCCTTTTAACAATGTGTTTTCTGACACTATTAGTTTTTAAACAAATGAAAATACTTGAGGGAAGCATGAACCAGAAGTCGATAACTCTTCCTGCACAGAACATAATGCAGACAAATTATTCCAATGAGAAAGCTTTTTCTAGCCATGTACTTAGGTGGAGCAGCAATGTTGGGCAGGGTCATGTCAGCCTAGGCGAACAGTCTTCGAAGGTGGGGTTTGCTGGAGTCTCAACTAGCATGTCAGGAGCATTGAGGATTGCCTTTGGGGAGGTTTGGCTTTTAAGTAGCAGAATTAGATACACGTTTTAGCACAGCATTTTTACTATGAGTGCACTTACAGGTTCATTGACAAATTGGCGGTATTTGTGTTGACTTCTGGGTAGGTTCCTAATGTCTGTTGCTTTCTTCCAGCTTGCCAGGAGTAAAGAAGGCTTTGGGGAAATACGGTCCTGCTGATGTTGAGGACACAACAGGTGCAGCCACAGATAGCAAAGACGATGATGACATCGACCTTTTTGGATCTGATGATGAGGAGGTACTTGTGGCCTTTTTGTATTACATTTGGGGTTTTTCTTAAATGCGAAGTTATGCAGGTTTTTGCCTTAACAGTTATAAGTTACTTAAATTTGTGACCTTGACACCAGATCATACTCAGAATTCTCAAATTCAGCTGTCTTTGCAGAACAGAAAAGCTTGGAAGGTAAAAATTCAAGAGTTAGAAAGGAGTGCGTTGCAATGGGGTGAACTGTTGACTTTAACTCTGACTGGTTACATGATGAATAAAACAAAAAATCACCATCTTTCGGCTGACAGTTGTGATGATTTGTTTTTGCCTGAGTAGATACCAGTCAGTTTGGTAATGCTTTAAAGATGGAGCAGTTTGGTGCTTTTCTGTAACTTCAGATTTGTCTTTCAGGAAAGTGAAGAAGCAAAGAAACTGAGGGAAGAACGTCTGGCCCAGTATGAATCGAAGAAGTCCAAAAGTATGTCTACCAAGAATTACTAATCATTTATGCTTGGGTTAATTTTCATGCATTTGAAGAGGATGGCTAGAAACACTAATTAACTTTAATAGATAAACTTGACTGTAATGAGACAGGAGTAATTAGCTTTGCTTGAATTGCCTCTGAGCTTAGCCTTTCCCATAGCAAACGGGATCCTTAACGTAGGTTTTGTCCTGCTTAATATACTCGTTTGTCTCACCCAGAGGTTGAGTGCTCTAGATGAAAAGAGGGAACCTCAGGATTTTCTTTAAAAGTTTAGAGAAAAGGCTGCAATACACATATCCCTCCACAGCTACTGGTCTGGAACTGTTCAGAACTGTAGCAGTTGCAGGATTCCCTCTGTGGAAAATAAACTGTTACACAGCCTTAAGCTCCTTCTCAGATCCTCTGAAAAGGACTTCCTATGTAACAAACAACATGAGCTTCTTTATGTCTTCTTATGAGACTATTTCTCAAGAACGTATGTATCTACATCTTGAACACTGGGATATGCATAGCTTAAATACTTTGGGAAAGTACATTGGTACGAGAGGCCTGTCACAGCTATGTGAGGAGGTTCTTGCTGGTGAAATCGGAAAAGTTGTTCTGGTAAAGCTAGTTTGCAAGTATATTCATGAGTTGTTGAAAACTTCCTAGCTTTTGATGGTGACTTTCCTCCCCCAGAGCCAGCTGTCGTTGCCAAATCATCAATCTTGCTTGATGTGAAACCTTGGGACGATGAGACAGACATGGCCAAACTAGAGGAGTGTGTTCGAAGCATTCAGGCGGACGGCTTGGTCTGGGGATCTTGTAAGTAGGAGAAACTTTGAAAGCAGGGAGAGGGGAGAGCGCGTGGTCTCTTAAGATACCATATGAACAGGCAAAAGCTTTATAACTTGGACTCTGATATCCTGCATCTCCCTGTACAGCTCCTGATGCAGCAAGAAAACACCCATAACACCCCCATCACTGGTTGGGGGCAGGAGGGAGTGGAAACCACAAAACCAAACCATTTTCCACCACCTTTTAATGAATGCTGTGTTGTTTATTAGGCAGTCTGTAATACAGAACAGCTTATGGGTTTTATGTATTCCTGTAGGCTACTTGGGTCAGTTGAATATTAGATTTGTATTTTTAAAGGACTCTACTAATCAAGGAGTATTAAATGTTTGTTTGTTTTTCTTAGCCAAGCTAGTACCGGTTGGCTATGGTATCAAAAAGCTTCAGATCCAGTGCGTTGTTGAAGATGATAAAGTTGGAACAGATATGCTGGAAGAGAAAATAACAGCTTTTGAAGATTATGTACAATCAATGGATGTAGCTGCTTTCAATAAGATTTAAGTCTTGATATATCTAGAATAAAAGTAATTGCAAAAACTGGGCTCTGTCTGTGGTTAATTCAAACTCATGGTGGAATCGCAATTCAGGAATGTGAAATTTGGTTGATGGGTAAGGTAGAAGTTAAAACTGAATGTCAAGGTTGTTCCCCTGCAGTTCCCAACAGCTTGAGCAGTGGGAAATAGAAAATCCAGACTTAACATTTACATGGCTTTAAAAGCCTGAAATGCCCTTTCCTTCATTTTGGAGGAAGTTGTGTCTTTGGAAATTTCTGTAATTCCTCTGGAAGGGGGGATGGCTTTAAGGAAAAAACACAGTGCAAGTTAGAAACAACAGGGGGGGCTGCAATGCATGGGAGATGGCAAGGTCTGTAGCGTTTTTATCTGACCTGAGCCTGTCATGCTGTCTTCTCATGTCCTGTGTGGACTTGGAGCTGTTTTCCTCAGAGAGGTGTGAAGACGTTTGCAATGAAATTATTTCAAACTTGGCCTCTTTTTCTGGGACTTCTTAATTAGTACAGCAAATAATGGTGTTGATGAAAGTTCCTGCTTTTATATTCCAAGGTCCTTGTATGCCCTTGTACCTTCAGCAGCCTGGGGAAGGGGATGTTGGTGGGAAAGGTAGCTGAACCCAAAGGCAGCAAGGGGGGACGGGGGCAGGCCCCTTCTGCAGGGCTCCAAAGGCCTGGGCTGTCCAACCCCTGGTGTGGGGATTAATGGGGTGCAGTGACCATGGGCTACACTGGTGCAGGTGGGTAATTTAATATTTAGATAATAAACTTGAAGCATGCTCTGGGCTAGAACAAACAAAGACATTCAATTAAAAAGCAAAGATCAACTGGCATAATTAACACCAGTTTGAGCTGCTTACTTGGCTCCAGATTGGTTTTTAGATTTTTTTTTTTTTATATCTTTTAAAGATTGAAGAAGATACTGGAACTAAATTGTTTTCCAAAAAACTATCCATAGGAAAGATACAAATGTAAAAGCTGTCAAAGTTGTGAAGCTTCTAGACAAATTCATGCCTCTAGGCTGCCTGGTAAACTGAGAGAATTTATTGTGACCATGAGATGGAAGCCTCTTATGTGTCGTGTTGGTCGCTCCAAGGTGAAGGTGGTCAGTGCCAAAGCCTGACAGCAGCAGCTAAAATAATTCTTTTTGATCTTTTTTTCACGGTGCATCTGTATGTGGTTATTTGGCACAGCAGGTCCTGTTTGTTTAGAGGTCTGCCAACTTCAGATTACGTAAGAGCTTTGTTTTATAATTTGTCTCAGGAAAAAAAATCTGCCTGCCAGAGGTCTAAAGGACGATTAAAGAATTGAAAGTGAGTATAATTACAGGTTTCATTTCTACCTTCCATAAACATAACTCTTAAAGGCCTAACTTCATTCCGTGTGTAATTAGTGCACAGTGCCCTTTCTGTGGCAATCCTCTAGCTGTCGCTTCTGCTAAATCATGTAGCTTAGTTTTAGCAATTCTGTCACGGTGCTGTTAAAAGCAAGAAATCTGCAAATGCCACATCCTAAATAAAAAAAAAGAAATAAAAATTCTGCCACAAAAATGTATTTTGTATTATCCTTGGCCATCACTGTTTCTGACCTCCCCTTCAATGTGCTTCTTAACCTTTAAACTCTTTCCTTGACCTTGAAATTAAAGCTCTAAGGAGACAAAATGGTTTCATTTATAGACTGCAACTTTGCTAAAATACCGTACTACACACCATCCACACTGGATTTTTGCATGTGTATGTCATTTATGCTCAGCATGCATGTGCAAACTCCTCAGCTGTTGGGATTTCTTTTGTGGTGTCCATTTCCCCCCGCCCACCCGAAGGAAGGTGGCTGCACAGGAACAAAATAAAAAAAGCTGGAGAGCAAGAGAATTCCACGGAATCCACATATTAGGGGGGGTTTGTGTAGTATTTGGGTACACGCTGATCTATTCCCATGTCATTGTGCCTGTGAAAAATCAGCATCATCTTGGTGTAAACAAGACCCTTCTATCCCAAGTGCACCCCATAACAGAAAGATCAGCAGAAAGTTCCATAACTTAAGTATGTGAAATATAGGAATACTGGGGAAAACCGCTTCAACAAAAGTATTGGTTACAAACTAATCTATGTAACAACTTTCAGGAGTACAAACTGTTCAGGATGCAGTTAAGTAACCAGAACCCATCTATTACAAAACGTGTCAATAGCTGTTACTCTTGAATGAATGGTTGATCATAGAGCTAATGGTTGGACTTGATGATCTTAAAGGTCTTTTCCAACCTAAATGATTCTATGATTCTATTTCCTATGAAGTGTTTTTTTATAATAGCTTTGGGCATGATGAGATAGATCCCCTTCGTCTGGCTTTTTTCCCATTGCAATGGGTTGAGCGAGTGTTCCTCAGTCCAAGCAGCACAGAACTGTTGGTATCACTTCAGATACGCCTGGGAAACAGAAACTTAAGAGCATTATCTGTTTTGTTTAGGTATCTTCCGCTACTCTTACAGAAATGAATTGGAGATACTTCTATAACTGATCTTGGTGTGAATGAGGTAATAGTTACATCGCAAAATTGTTAATCTACTTAACTCCATAGACCAGGACTGACTGGGACCTTATTCAATTCTAGTCTGTATCTATCTCTGGTGTCTACTTCAGGTGAGGCTTTCCGGCAATTCATGCAAGACAGCACAGGTATGTTCCCCCATTTGAAAATGAACCTCTTTAGTGTATATAGCAATATGTGTGCTCACATAGCTGACAAGCAAGAAGAAAGCTGACATAAACCTTAATTCCTGTAGTGGAAAGGGTCAGGGCTGGCTTTCGCCTTCCAAAATCTTTGGGAAGGAGCTGTCCTAAGAATGGACAGTCACCACATGCTGCTGCTGAGAAAAGCAAATGAACACACTCTTTGGAAACAACAAAGTTTTATTACTTCACTTGGAGTACAGTCAGGAGAGTAGTGCTAATACATCATTCTTCGAAAGATGTCAGGGAACATGTGAAGAAAAACTGCAAAACATTTGATTTGGGCACATTCAGCAGCACGGTGCCAAAAATATTAATGATGAGTCACTATGTTACCAGGTAGCAAATGACTCAAAGGAAGAGTGCTGCTTACCAACTTTCCAGCCCAAAGTGAAATACCTTGAAATTCCACTCATCCTGCCTGACTCTCCCAAACTGTGAAATCAGAGCCCAAAGAAACAGTTACAGACCACAGTCAGACTGTTTCTGTTTGTACAGCTATCAATACCAGATGTGCTCAGGCATGCATACATATATATATATTATACAAAAGCAAATATATTTACATATAAGGCCTCACTTACAGTATAAACGCTACTTATGTGTGTTGGTAGGCCACTGAAACTATCTATCTGAAAGGCAGTTTTATTCTATATACCTAGGCCAATAACAAGGAAAAACCAGTTCAAATTTACCCAAAGTTTTATGCTTTTACTTCTAGTGGAGTTTTATCCCACATTCAACTTTTTAATTAAAGTGGTATTGCATCAGAAATCTGTCCACTCCACTTAGCATATATATTTGCATCGATGTATGTGTGATTCTACAGCAAGCAACAAGTTGGAACAGAATACAGCATAACTGGGACTACTTCACCTTTCTTATGGGAGCAGACTCCATTTCCTGGAAGTACTGTCTCGCCTCTCATTTGGCAAAGAAGTCCAAAGTTGGCTACAGACTTGTAACAGAATATTGTTGAATTCACTCTGCCCATTTCTTGAAGGTTGGCATTAAGGCAAACAAAACATTATACTATTTCTTTACCTTTGACAGAGCAATAACGAACAACTGATAGTTGTAACCCTCTTTGAGCCCAAAAGTTTAAACACAGAAAAAGAACAAATGGCAGGGGGCCTTTAATCTCAGCTTCTGTAAGAAACATTTTCACTAATTCTTTGCACACTTCAAGTGAGCCTAATGCCTATATGAAACATCTGCTTAGTATTTTGCACCCAAGTGGTGCTAAAAGCACATGAATAAGTGACCAGAAAGCAGGACATCTCCTGTCTTAGTTTTGAGTATAAGATAAAGAGCACTGGGAGAAAACAGATTTTATTTCCATATTTGTCTTTTTTGACAAGAGAAGGCAGTGATTCGGCGTTCTCTGTCTTGGGATTCCTCTCCAATTGCAGAGTGGAGCCACTGACAGATTGCTTAGCAGGGATGTAGCCGAGTGATTCCTACCTAGGGCAATACTAGACAGTCAGGAGACTTGTGATCCACCGATGTATGGCCACAACCTCCTGGATGAGAATGCCTCTATGAAGAGTGTTACCAGTGATGGCAAGGAAGAAAAATTTTATTATGTGCTCTTCCCTTCCGATATCAATGAGGTATGGAAACACGACAAAACAACAGGATTACAACAACATTCCTGATCAAAAATCCAGTTAGAGCAATTCCACTTATGCTGACAACTTTCAGTTCAGGCTGCATGTGCAGTGCAAGTACACCACACCCAAATGATGTGTCCTTTAAAAACCTTTCAAGGAAAGCAGCAAGTGCAATTAAGCCAGCCGTTTATATAAAACTGTACATGCAAAGATGCACATCTGACTGGCAGATGTGAAGTCAAGAACACCTCCAAATCTCCTGTCAGCTGTTTTGGAGAGAGATGGTGACAAGAGCAGTCACTGAGCAGTTTCACAATAGTGCGCAGGCGCATGGGTGTTGTCTGAGCTCCACAGCTGCTCGCTGACAGTTCCCGAGCGGCTCACCTCCCACAGTGCCAATTTTAGCACCTCAGAGACTGTTGTCTTGACCTGGGCCTGGAACTTTTTGCTAATCAGAACATAGAGGATTGGATTGAGGCAACTGTTGATGAAACCAAGGCCAGTGGAGAGGGGAATGCCATCCTGCAGTAAGTCATGCAAGTTTTCGTCATGGTGAGCAGATAGCTCCACGATGCTGAATATGTGATACGGTGTCCAGCAAACAAAAAAAGCTACAACTACAGCAATGATGGTCCAGAAAAGCCTGCTGGAAGTCAATACAGTTCTCCTCTTCACTTTGACAATCAGCAAGGAGTAGCAAATGACCATGGTCACTAGAGGAAAGAGGTAACCAAATGCAAGCCTCACCCAAATGAGAATGTGATGTGTCAGCAAAATAAGTTCTCTGTCATGCATATGGAAGTTGTTGTAGCAAATGGTGACATTGTTGAGAACTGTAGCTGTGTCTCTAAAGTATAAGGCAGGGCCACCAATAATTGCAGCTGACATCCAAATGACCCCACTAAGAATAAGGGTGTTCCTCACAGTCCGATACTTGTAGGAAAAGACCGGGTGGACCAGGCGGACGTAGCGGTCAAGGCTGATGAATGTCAAGAAGAAAACACTGGCGAACATATTAAGTAGTGCAATGAAGGAGTTCATTTTGCAGAGCCACTTACCAAAAGGCCAGTGGAAGCCCATTGCCACATATGTAATATAGAGGGGCAGGAAGAGAACAAAAATGAAATCTGCAATGGCCAGGTTGAGGAACCAGAGTGTAGAAACAGATTTATCCCACTTAAAGCCCATAAACCAGATGACAATGGCATTACCTGGCACTCCCAGCAGAAATGCCACACTGTAAAAGGAAAGGGAGATCATATGGGCGATGCTGAGGGAGGACTGGGGTGATTCATCTTCCTCAGACAGGTCATAGAAATAAGAGTAGTTCTCAAAATCTTCAAATGTCATGTTGCACAGTTGCTTTCTGGGGAAGAAAAGAAATGGAAGAGTCAAAGGACAAATGTTTTACTGCACTGCAAATAGTAACCTGCAATTCCCTTAAGTTCTTGGTCATAAAAAAACCCCAAAACACTGACTTAGTTTCACATATCTATCACTTTTTAGCTGTCAGCTGCTAGCACAAAGCTTGTGCAGTATTTTGGTCACAGACATTTCAAGAAATGCTCAAATCAAGACAGCACTTTAAATCTTCAGGAACTGTTTTCCTCACATTTATTTCTTAACACGCAGCACTGAGCTCAGTACCACTGATAAATTTCTGGGAGACCAGAAGTTTTACTGAAGCGTGATTTTTCTGTTCTTTTCTAGTCAGGTTTCATGTTTTACTGCTCCATTGCTATTTGAAGCAAATTTTATGGATTATCTCTGTTAGAAATCAGAGAAGCACCAGGCATCTTTGTAGACAAAAAAGTGCAGTTAAAATGCCAGGAAGCCATTTTTTATAAAATTACCATCCACACACACCCCCCCTCAAATTATAGTTGACAAAATCATAGACAGTGATTTCTCCAGCAACTGCAAGTTCACGGGTTTATTCCTCTCTGTCATGTATCTTTGTACCAGGGAATGCTGATTTTCAGCCATATTCAATGTATTAGATTTCCTTAGCACCGTAAAGGATGTAGAGGAGGAAACATACAGAACATATTTCAGGAAGAACACATACAGTTGTGGTATTCTTCCACTAGTGAGCTGAGAAACAGGTCATAGATGAAAGAAAATAAAGCTTCCCAGGGGAGTAAGACACACTGTAAGAGCTATAGATGAAAATACGCGTGCCTCCTTTTTCCCTTTTTTAAGGCAAAATGACAGTCTCAAGTTTTTTTCTGTTGCAAAAGCTTCTGGAACTTACGTGTACAACATGATTTTTCACATAGGAATTTTCTTCTAAGACTCCAAAGGAAGAGTGTGGGAGGGAGAGAAAGGGGGGGTGGGGGTGGTGGTGAAAGGAAAATATAAACCAAAAGAAAGACCCAAAAAAAAAGAAATGAATGGGAAAACAGATAGCAAACAGAGGTTGAACAGGAAAAAACACTCGGAAGTTATGTGTCCGTTCCATGCTACAGGCAAAGCTGCAGCACAGCACTGATGGCCACAGTCTAACAAAAGTATATGCCATGGTCAAAACAAATATTCTGCTAAATTCTGTTATCATTTAAAGCTATATGATCTGTCTGGACTCAGCTGCACTAAAAACCTGCCCCCAAGAGCTGGATATGACCATTAGCTGTACTAGTACACTTCTGAGCGCTAACTCCATTCAGAAGCTGAAATTCGGCCTGTGCTTTTGGAACCCAGCCCTGCATTCCTGTAATTCCATTAATTTTAGCATGCTAAGAACAACAGGAACAGGGTCTCCAGAGTACACTGCCTGCAGAACCACATCTGCAAGCCTGTATTCATGTACATACCTTTCCTCCAAAAAAAGTAGTTTGCTTATTTTGAAAGGATTACTCATACAAGTGAAGCTACGCATGTGCGCGCACATCAGGAGGATCAGATTTCTCATTTGTAGATGGACAGACAAGGGGAAAATAAAAAAAAGTTTTGTAATTTTATATCTCTTGATTAAAAAAAAATGTAGTAAGTGTCAATACAGTCTATTCTGTCAAGAGGCTATGGTAACATTTGCCCTTTGTAATTTACATCAGGCTGAAGGAATGTTATTTGGTTTGCTGTCCTGATAAAATGATACTTATTGGGCTGCATTTATGTAATTACATGCCCCTTGGGGGTAGATTCTGCTTCAAATACCAGTACCACCCATCTGAGTCATTTTTTTCGAATAGCTTAACAGCTGCTGAGAAATAGTATAAACAAGGACCAGTACTACTAACATCTGGAACAGCATTACATCTGGACAGTTTCAGAGGACAGTCAGGTTAATAATTGGATTTTTAAGCATCTGCCTATATACAGCACTATACCTTCAAATCGAATTTATGCAATTAAAGAAAAAAAATCCAATTTTTCGGACTCTTGCTGATTAACATCCTGTGTTCCAGTCACTAATCAATTTCGCTTTTAAGTTTTTTAAGATCTAGCACAACACAACAATACCTGGATTCAAACATTTCCTCCCACACCTTTTTTTTTCCCCTAATGGTGCTAAAAAAACATAATGACAGTAACAATAACAAACATTTGCCTACTGTCCAACAATGTTAGTTTTATATTTAGAATTTCAAAGATGATGTATAGCAGGAAAAAGAGAACATACCTAAATAAATACCAAATATTTACCAAGTCTCCTGGAGTTTAAAACCCCTCTATTGAAAGAGCACACCTTTAGAATGTAATTATTTTTCTAAGCTTGTATTTTTCCTTATCTCTAACTCCTAGTCTTCCAGTGCAGCAACTCTTTAGCAGTGGAGGCAAAAAAGCAGGAGGAACATTGCTTACCATTACTCCCAGTGCACAGATGCTGAAACTAGACTCTGTGGCTAGGGCTTAGCAAAGACTGACAATTACATTTGCAAAGCCTCCAGAAACTTTTACCTCTGACATCCACATACGTGAAGCACTTCTATAAAAGGACTCATGGTCTTAAGCCCTGTCATGAAAAACATAAGCAGTAGGGGATTGCCAGTGGAGCTGTGCTGGTTTACATCAGTGTTCCTGAAACACACATAGTCTCAAATACATGAGTTTGTTTTTTATTTATTAATAAGCTTTCAGAGTCAGAACTGTCTTGCAGTTCAAGTCTAGGTCTTGAAAGTGAAGAAATCTTATTCCTTATTCTGTCACTGATTTTCTGTATGATCTTTGACAAATGGCCTAATTTCCAGGCTGGAAAGACTCTCGTGAACCTGTCTGCAAACAGAGGCTCAGTAGAGAAAACAAGACGTTTTGCCAGCAGTTTCCGCTTGGCTTTCAGGCCAACTGCTAGAAAGGGTAATGGAGTTTTGGTGCAGTTCACTGGCTCAGTCCCTGCTGGTCCGGAGCTGCAGAAAGGAGCCAGAAGGAGGAAAATATTTTTCAATAAACAGGAAAGTGTGGTTAGAGGCCTGGCAACAGGACTTGGGGGCAGCCACAGGTTACAGAGTAGTGTTGTATGCATATGGATGAATATAACCAAGTTTAGATTTCGTCCTGTCTTTTTTTTTTTTTTTTTTTAAATAGTAAACAGCCTGTGTAAAGTGTACGCTCAGCAGTTGTTTGACTGGAGTCTGTTCCTGTTTGCTGAGGTCACAAGCAGCTCTGAAAACTGAGCCTCCTTGATTCAGTTGCTTAATTATGAATATAGTTGCTTAATTTTAAGCAAATAGGTTTCAGAACGTTTGACCAGGAGGTTTCATTTCCTGTCCCCTTCTGTAAAACAGAAGTTAATTACTAAATTACTTCATAGGAATATCACAGGCTGGCACTTGGTGCTAGTATCTTTTAGACCCTGGGACAGAAAACAGAATTACCAAGAAATACAGATCATTAGGAAATATTTCTAAAATGCAAAGCCACAGAACTGCTGGGAAGAGACTTCACCATGTGCTACATGAACTGTCTTTCTCTGAATGCCAGCAGGGAATTGCAGAATCGGATCTCAATTGACCTATTCATAGCTTTTCACTAGAAGTACCTACAGTTCATTTTCTCTGCCACCATTACAGTATTTCATAAAGTTGATCCGTAATGACAACTTGGACAAGTGACCGGATCTGCTTAAAATAGAACAGCTTTTGTCACACTAAGAATGGTCTTACGGTTATGACATGGGACCAGTACTTTGGACTGTATGCATGATTATGCCACGTGCATCCTGTGTGACCAGGGAAATCGTTTGACCTCTCCACGGCTCAGCCCTGAGGTCAATGGAATGGCTTTGGAATTAAATTACATTGGGTTTTCAGCCTAAAATAGGAGAAAACAAACAAAGCAGTTGCAATTTCCACTCACTTCACTTAATGCAAAGTCTTCCTGGGGATTCAAAGTTCCCTGGGTACCACATAAGTTGGGGTCCAACTTAATTACAATGGTAATTTATGCCACATGTTTGGGCTACAGCCCACACAACCTCTCTCACATTTGGTCCTCATTACTTTTGAAATTTACAGAGAGGTCCAGGGGAAGACCTTATTCACTGTCTGTGTTAGTTAAAAGTTAACACAAATATTTGAGTGGTAGGCCCAAAATCTGTTTGTTCAGAGTGATAAACACTGCTCAGAGCCTCTGGCCAGCTAAATTGATTTCAGACGTCACAATAATGGGTCCTGACTTAATAGGAAAATTATGGTTTGCAGAGTTGGCTGTCTCAACAGTTAACTGCATACAGGGAATATATTACACAAACCCTCCTTTTAATGTCTTTATGAATAATTCTGAGCATATCACTGTGTATGATCTATGGCTAAAGAAAACCTTATTTGATTGATTCACTTCAACTTTGTCATTTGCAAGAATCAAATGTTGGAGAACAACTAGTTTCTCTAAAGGTGACCTAAAGCCTGCTTGTCATACTGGGTCTCAGCAAGTTTGTCTGGATATTCAGTTCATTTGAGAGTCCTCAAAAAAAAAATCTTGGGACTTTTGAGGTGCTAAATTTTTAATTCACCTAGCTTCAAAAACATAAACATGAAATTCACCCAGTAGTTTATCTGTAAAGTTCAAAACACAGAAGGCTGAGCAAGTTTGTTAGAGGTATATACATATTTCTGGCAAGTATTTTACAAAGACATAAGAAAAGATCCTAAAACTCATAAGAAATACTGATGAGATTACAAGCTTCCGTAAACTCATATTTCTCCCTCAAAAGAACAAAGCCAAGATGACCATTTGCCTCCATGTAGAAACATTCCCACAGCAGGAAGTGCCTGATACACCCATGCGACAAAATTAAATCACAGCTATGCTGTAATTTAAGCCCAAAACTGGCCCTGCAGACAAAGCTACTAGGAAATGAGCGTTTTAAGCTTGTATACACAAAAGCAGAATCAAGGCCTGTGTGTATGTTTTCTCTTTCACAGACACATGCACAAGCGCCTATCTCTTGACTATCATTTTAATGGTCACTAGACATATGGTAACAAAATGCCTTTAAAAGCCATCCTGAATTCAACAACTAGAGTGGGTGATAACAGTATGGTATGTGACTGGAAACCTTTTCAAGCCACGAAATAGATGTATTT